GGTAGCTCAGTCATATCGTTACTAACTACTAATCCGAATAAAATCAACTTACCTCTCTTTCATGGGCCGCACTTCCTCTTATTAGTTTTTATTTCAAAAATCTAGTTATTGACACATGGGTGATTCATACATTTCCTATCGTCGAAGTTGTTGAATGGGTTAATCGGGAACTCATGCCAACATCAATATAAAGTTCGAGTACTACTTTTTCGGGGGTTTATATTGTCCTTTATACTTGAGGTATACACCCCAGGTGAGATAAGATTGACATGAAGGTTATCTCGATCTAATGGAGAATATCTCCCTACACCTTACTCCAAATCGCGAAAATCCTATCAACTAGCGTTCCAGTAACTCCTATAGCGATCACTTGAGGTGAATCCTTTATGCAAATCAAATCCTAACTGCTAATGCTTCATAGGTAAGCAGAGCAATTAAACCCTAATAATTGGCCCTTCTCGTGCAAGGGCATGGGCTAATTCAGCCACATTGTTCGCCACATGAACTGTGAGTCCATCATGATCTATCCGAGAAAGTCATGATCAATGTGCTCTTTAGAAATGAAGAGAGGATTTTTATGTTAGAGGGTTTAGAAATGAGATGAGATTTGAGGTGATGTGAATGAGAATTAGTCATTTATAAATGTCATATGCTACACGAAAGACCTAAACACGGCCATAACAAAAAGAAAAGAAATGAACATAAGTACATAACAACGATCAGAAAAAACAACTTTAAAATAACCTACTATAAATTAAAGATAACAAAAATGGCCACACGGCAACCATTACAAAGTAACGGTCATAAAGTAACGTCTTTTAAAAAAAAATATATCAAGACGACCTAATGAAAATATCATAAATGCACAGATTTCTTCCCTTGTGGAGCGTACCTAGACTCTTTCCTTTGAGGACCAAATAGTTTATAGGTGGCACCATTGAGACACAGTTGACACAACTTATGGGGCTTAACTAGTTTCGAGTTTCGTCCAGCTAAGCCTGCTGAAAAGGAAGCGGGAGACCACTATGAGCTGGTCCCGGCTCCTGAGCCTCGACTGCCTTGGCCATCCGAGTATTCACTCGCTTGCATCCTGCCGGATGGCCAGGTCGAGTTGACGAGTGCTGGTGGTCACACCCGTCATGTGCATGGCCACCATCTGAAGTTGTACCTCAAGAGCGATGTGGATCCGCTCTTGGAAGCACATGTTCCTACACCTCTCTGAGCATCCACCCTACTAGCGTCCAGCTAAAAGACGGTAAAGAAGCGCTTGTGGGGAGGCAACCCCACCAAGGTTTGTTTTCCTTTCGTTTATTTTCGGTTTGTCCACTTGGAACTATGGTTTCTATCACCTAGTGTGTTTTAATGACTCTAGCCCTGCTGACTGGTCCGATTTCCAGTCCCCCGATAGTTCGTATTTCCGATTGAGGGCAATGTCGTGCTTAAGTGTGTGTGTTGGAGGGGTGTTTATCTATTTTTGACTGCTAAATGAGTTCGTATGCTTGGAGCCTAGTCTACTGTCCAATTTGATGAATTGAGGGCTCCAAGTACTGTTTCCTGCAAAATCCTGCTTAGTATGCTTTGAATTGACAATCTTTATGGTGATATGCAACCTAGGGAGGTAATTGTAACACTATGGAGGATGTTGAAGTATAAGATTTTTCCTGTCTGTCTCTCGGCTGTGCCGGTTGATTTTGTGAACTAGTGGATTTAGGACAGTTGATTCATGTGGTATTGATAACTCCTTTTATTTTGTGGTGTGGACTCGTGCATCGAAAAAGGGTGCTCATATGTGAAATGAAGAGGCAGTTGGTCCTCCATGTCAACAACTTTGAAATCTTAAGACATGTGGTAAGCCCAACGTGTGTGGCTATGTTCATTGCACAAAATCGGGTTTTGGAAGAGACTTCAGGGATCCTTGGTGGGGTAGGCCTACAAGGTGAAGCTAAGTTGACTCTAGTACAAGTAAAATTTCCACCCGTTGAGCAGTTTGACTACTTAAGGATGTGTTTTTAAGGGCACGGATAGAGCTTCCGACCCCCCCTTAATTTCTTTGACCCTCCACACGAAGTGAGGAATAGGAGTTAAAAGAAGTACTCTGGCGAGTGACATATATACAAAAATCGCTCTTGCTCGCCTAATAAGGGAAGACCGTGCATACAAACTGTAATTGGAACCCCAGCAAAGTAAACAAAAAAAAACAAATAGTAGGAAGAAGGGGTTCCAACAAGTGAAATGAAATGAAAAGCACCCGATACAATGAGTCCTTGGTTGTTGAATTGTGAGAGTCTCCTTATCCATGAATTGACTATCTTAGTTCCACTGCTTCTCGTGATCCTGGCTTGAGTCTAGTACTCGCATTGAGAGAGATAGGGGGTGTCTTAGAAGACCAGTTGACCTCGTAAGCTGTTAAATTATCTATAAAATCCTCTATCGACGATCGGGGGTGCATGTTGCTATAGAGGTCTGGAGATCTGCATTGGTTTGAATCAGGTTTGCTTATAGACAAGCAAATAGTTAAGTGTGGCAGAATTTGATGACTTGATATATACACATGTTTTTGTCCACCATTCCTATACCGTTTGAGTCTCATCTCTCGTGTTTTAGGATGATTTCACGCTTGGTTGTTCTTGTTTGTGATATTTCAGGTCCTAATGCGTGAAGAAAGGTTTGGGCACGAGTTCGGGGTCGATTGGACGAAGTTGGGACGTTTGACGAAAAGCTGGAAATTCCGCACGGCAAACCTAAATTCCACACGGCCGTGTGACTTGGCCGTGTGGAACCCCTTTGCGCGGCCAAAGCACACTGGCCGTGTAAAGGGCCCTTTTTGGCCATGTGGAATTCCCAGGGAGTTCACACAGGCATACCTAAATTCCACACAGTCGTGTGGTTTTTGGCCGTGTAGCGTACCTGGAGTCACTAAATCGAACGCGGCGTTTTGGAGAGCCACACGGGCATACCTAAATTTCACACGCCCATGTGGCCTGGCCGTGTGATCTAGCAGAACTGGGTTTTTAACCCAATTTCGGGTCTTTTGAAAGAGGGATCGATTTTCAGAGCTAGAAACAGAGTCCTATCGTAGAAGTTGTTGAATGGCTTAATCGGGAACTCATGCCAACATCAATATAAAGTTCTGAGTACACCCTTTTTCGGGGGTTTATATTGTCCTTTATACTTGAGGTATACACCCCAGGTGAGATAAGATTGACGTGAAGGTTATCTCGATCTCCTACTATATGGAGTATATCTCCCTACACCTTACTCCAAATCGCGAAAATCCTATCAGCTAGCGTTCCAATAACTCCGATAGCGATCACTTGAGGTGAATCCTTTATTCAAATCAAATCCTAACTGGTAATGCTTCATACGTAAGCAAAGCAATTAAACCCAAACAATTGGCCCTTCTCGTGCAAACGCATGGGCTAATTCAGCCACGTTATTCGCCACATGAACTGTGAGTCCATCATGATCTATCAGAGAAAGTCATGATCAATGTGCTCTTTAGAAATGAAGAGAGGATTTTTGTGTTAGAGGGTTTAGAAATGAGATGAGATTTGAGGTGATGCCAATGAGAATTAGTCATTTATAAATGTCATATACTATACGAAAGACCTAAACTCGGCCATAACGAAAATAATACGACCCTGGGGTTGTATGCGATCGAAGTAACGTAGCTAACGACTCAATCGAAGGATCGATTGAGCTCGAATCAAGAATGAAGGGTTCTGAATACGAAATTGGATAAAACAGAACCAAAAGGACGATTCCACACCCGGGGAACGCTCGATTGGATTAAAGGGTAGTTGCTCGACCATGATTGAAGTGACTATTCAATCGATACACAAGCTCAGCAAGTTTGGAATCCACCAAACCCAAAACAAGTCGCAACTTGCACAAACCAAACAGTTTCGATTTCTATTCAACGAAGTCTGAATTTTACAACGAAATAGAACGGTATTTAAAGGCAAATAAAACCTAATACAATCCTATTCGAACTAGGAAACAATTAAGGTAAAAGTCTACACTAAAAAGGACACAAAATTCGGATTTAAACTCTCTTTCTTCAAGCGCAAGTAAGCTGCCAGAAACAGTCCAAAAGCAGCTTTCGTACTAACTTTACACTTTTCGTTCGAGGAGTTATGGTCTCGAATCAGACCCATGCTCCTCGAATTAAACTCCAAAGTAGGCTTCACAAAACAGTTTCCAGACTTAAGCCATTTTCTGGCAGTTTTCCTGTTTTGAGGTAGCAACTTTGAGGCCTTGGAAAACAACCTTAATGACTTCTTCTGGATCCAAAAAGCATATCATTGGAAAGATGACAACTTTATATTTAAAAGAAGCACTTGAAATCCAATTTTCAGTGAGCCAATTGTGAGCAACATGCCTCCAAAGTAGGCATCTCGAAACTGTTCAAACACTTAACAAAATTTTGCCTTTCTTCTTCCCAACTTCGATAGCTTCTTTGTCAAGTAATTGTGACGTGAATGGTTGACAATTTGGGATCATATCAGAAAAGAAAAGAAAAAAAGAACATAACAACGGTCAGAAAACAACTTTAAAATAACTTATTATAAATTAAAGATAACAAAAATGAGCAGACGCCAACAACCACAAAGTAACGGCCATAAAGTAACGTCTTTTTTTCTTAAAGATCAAGACGACCTAATGAAAATATCATAAATGTAGAGATTTCTTCCCTTGTGCAGCGTACCTAGACTCTTTCCTTTGAAGACCAAATAGTTTATAGGTGGCACCATTGAGACACAGTTGACACAACTTGTGGGGCTTAACTAGTTTCGAGTTTCGTCTTCTCAGACCTGCTGAAAGTTTGCTCATCCTACATCCATCCTCGAAGAGGTAATGTGATTCATCAATTCATGCCATTTCATAAGTTCGGGTGCTTTTCTTTGCCGAATCTGTTTCCTCACTGGTTAGGAGTTATCTCGATTCTATACATATAACTGGTTGGACCCTGTTTCTTGTTCCTCTGATTTGGGTGCAGTTATACTATGGTCAAGAAGAAGATGCCTCCGAAGCCAAAGGTTGATAGAATTAGTAAGCTTCCTGTCCATCTTATACAGCTTATTCTCACGTCATTGCCCATAAAAGAAGCTGGGAGAACAAGTGTACTGTCGAGAGAATGGAGGCACCATTGGAAAAGTATCACCCACCTTGTGTTTGACAAAGATTTCGATTCACCGGATTACAGTGATTCTGATGAAGAAATTAGTGCTGATAAGCTAATGTCGAGCATCCAGAAAACTCTGCAGGTTCACGATGGGCCTATAACAGAGTTTGTGGTTTCGAATTATCGGTTAACAACTACTGTCGAGATCGACCCCTTGATTTCACACCTTATCGAGAAAGGGGTCTCGCGCCTTTCCCTTCTGTACTGTTGCCGCGATGACACTCGACAGTATGAAGACGAGATCGACCCTTCCCTTTTTCGTGCTGTTCAAGTGGACAGGCTGAAACTGCAGGGATGTGAACTTGTCGAACCGTCTTGGTTTACCGGATTTACCAGGCTGACCTCTCTTCACTTGGACATCGTTGGTCTGCCCGAAGATTTCTTCGATAGTTTCCTTCTGAACTGTCCCCTGCTTGAGGATTTGAGGGTTTTCTACTTTCGGGGTCTTAATATAGTTGAAGTTGAGGCTCCACCGCGCCTCAAAGTGTGCATCCTGAGGGCGGATCTCGGTTTAGTTGATATTAGCTTCAGCTATGCTCCACTTCTGTCTGTTGTCTCAATTCATGCGGAAGAGTGCGGGGACGAACCTGAAACAGATGTGGTCTCTTTATTTGCTTCTCTCCCGGCACTCCAAAGGTTTTACATTAGCTTTGAGTGCCTTGAAGTAAGTTTCGTTGGTTAAACAGTTGTGACCTCTTTTTCGTAGTCCCGAAATGCCTGGATTTGCGCTTCTCAAATCTGTGTTTGGTTTTCTTTTATAGTTACTTGCTGCAGGTTCTGTTCCCGACAGGCTTCCGGTTGCGCTTCACTGCTTAGAAGTTCTTGACATTCGCAGATGTGACGATGAAGACAGTTCGCTTGAGCTGGAGCTTGTCCTTTGTCTCATCAGAAGTTCCCCCAACTTGAATAAACTTACAATTAAGGTTGGTCTTGTGATAGATACTCTCTACATCATACCTTTTGCACTACAGATGACTGTGCTCACTGTTTCAGGCTTGCTTTTTTATGTATTTTCTTCAATAGACTAAATTTGTTCATTCCTTAAACGCTTGCAGATGGACGTTGACGAAGACTTGCGTTTTAAGGGGGATTTGAAGCTGTCGGAACGTGAACCAGAGGCACATCCTGAAGATGAAGATAGCTTCTGTCAGCGTCTTGACGAAGTCGAAATTCGGCTCAGTGGATTCTCTCAGGTTGAGCTGGACCTGTTGAGGTTCGTGTTGGCCAACGCCCCGCTACTGAGAAGGATTGTCATTCAGCCTAAGAGCAGATTGAGGTGGGAAAAATGCCTCAAGTTCCTGGGAGAGATTAAAGAGTATGATTGTGCTTCAAAAAATGTAGAGATCATATATGTGAACAAGTCTGGTGTGATGTTCTTCAGTATGAGACTGGCAAATGTTTAACTTATATTATCCAGGTCCTTGGATCACGGGGGAGCCATGCTTGTTTGTTTTCTTGTCAGAAATTACTTTATAGCTCTATTATGGGACAACAAGACTAGAAAGAGTGCCATATATACAATACAGAGAAAATATGAAGCACAAATGATGGCCTTACATTAATGCACTGACCTCTCGTCCCAATCGTATATAATCTCAGCTTCCCTCGACGCATGCTTGAATCCAATCATCGTTTTTAGGTGACTGGCAACTCTATAATGACCCATATTACGACTAGGCCTAATGTAGACTCTGCGAAGCTGCGGGGCTTTGGCTAAAACAAACTTCACAAGCTCTAGTTCTATTTGCGACTCAGAGCCTGGACCGTTGTGAATGTTCAATGATTCGAGACAACCTAGGCAACCATTCGTCCCATAAGGGTCCAGTTCCGCTGCTTCGAGCAACATCTGTATGCTGTCAATAAGGGTCGTTGGACGGCTTCGTTGATACCCCATATCGTGCTATAAGAACATTTGTCCAAATAAGTGAAAATTGTGTAGTCAGGCAGGCATAGCAAAAGTGAATATAGAATTTCGGATTTAGAACACCGCAAAGAAACCAAATGATTGTGTAATCACACAAGAACATATAGTATAAGCCATAAGGCAACCACTTCAATTCCAAAATTCAAAGTTGATCACAACTGCAAGAAAAGAACTGTGAAGAAAAACATACCCGTATGGTGAGGCAGCGCAGGTTGGGAGAACTCATGATTAGACAAACAAGAATCCTCGCATCCTTCAAACAAGACAGAATAATCTTTGGTATTTCAAGTACTGTCAAGTGTTGAAGAAGAGTAGGAAGCCTGACGGGGATACTGCCCATAAGTGACTACAACAAACACAGTAAGATAACCAGAATGAGTAAACAGAGAGAAACCACCAAGGCATGCAAGGTTGAGCAAGCTAAGTAGCAGAATGAGAAGGCAAACTCACTATAAGAAGTTCAAGACCAAGATTCAATTGCTTGAGTGCAGGAAGGGAAGCAAATACATTGACCATATCCATATCGTCACCCTCAATGACAACATTAGACTCATAGTCATCTTCATCAGGATCCAGCATGGATACCAAGGAAAGAAGTGGGGTGCACTTAAAGGAAAATGATACCAGGAAACGAGAATGAAAGTAAAGCGCTTTGAGGCGAGGGGCAACAAGCTTAGGAGATTCAAAACCATGACAGTTCAAAAGCGTCAATTTTTCAAGCAGAGGGCACTTGGTGATGAATTTCTCAAAGAAATCCGAGGCCAGAGCTACTTCTTTCAGTTCCAGAGCGGTAAGCTTGCTAAATCCAACAGTCAGTGATGTCTGTATAACTGGTCCAGTTCCAGGAGCCCAGACACGTTTCTCACCAGACGGGTCCACTTTACGGCATTCCCCGAATCGAAGGCTAAATTCATCGGTAACTTTGTCCGAGAGATACAAAATAATGTGCTCAATCTCAGGACAGGGTCTCAATCCTGGAACCGAAAGGACAAACTTGTCTATCGGCCCATCATGGAGCAGCAGAACTCTGTAAACTTTCATCATTAGCTTGTTTAGCTTGACTTGACTGGGAGACGCCAGAGGGATTCTACCAAACTTACGATCGAACACGAGTGCTGGAATGCTTCTCCAACGGTTCCTCCATTTCTTGGACCACAGGCTTGCTTTTGCTGCTTCTTTAATGGGCATCGAGGTCAGAATTTGATCAGTCACGTTGGCTGGAAGGTTGCTAATTCGATCAGCAGTTGACAACTCGCAGCTGCAGCAGGCCCTCTTCATCATTGCAATATCTTCTCCATACAAAAATAACATAACAACTATGATGAGAGAACTTCAATTCGGAAGAGAGCTCGTTAGAACCAATTCATGAACTTTCAGAACATAAAGCGGTGAGGTAATTACCTTGTTGAGATTGAGTTCCCGCGTAGATCTGAAAACCCCAAAATCAGTAAAGCCCTAAACTCCTCCGTCTAGCGCTGGCAATCAGTTCCCTAGAGTAACCTTCACCCCGTTGCCGACGGCTTACCGGCGATTGTTCCCTAGAGTAAAGATCCTTCCAACGTTGCTAATCACCGATTCTCGTCACTCCCCTGGCGCAACAGTCGGTCTTTGCGCCGCCGTCCTCTTCTCACCGGCGGTATAATCCAGATCCGACCAAACGCCGGTCACGATTCTTCTGATTCTAATCGTCTCTACCGTAGATCTCTGGCGCTACCATCTGAAGCTATTTCGTTCAGCTGCCGAGAGCAATGGAAATAGGGGGGGGATCAGATAAACATGAGAGAGATGAAACTACTCTGCTGGCCAAAAATGCCGCTTTCTTTTATTTTATTTTATTTTTTTCAACTTTTTTACCAATTTTTGGAAGTTCATATAGCAAAGAGGCCACCGTACTTTGTATCCATTACAAACACACCCCCTGAACTTCCATATCAAACAAGAAATATGTATGCAAATTAGACTCTTTTATCGACATGTTGATTAGTATTAAGTGTCATATTTACGTTTCAATTTCTTGTATTCTCATATCAATTTACTATCTGTCTATAGCAACAACAACAACAACAACAACAAAAAATCTGCAACTTTCATGCTTAATGCACTTGATTGTTCTTGTTATGTTAACAGGATCTTCCTATCTTCCTATGTATCTAATCATCTGAATTTCTACATATAGATTTTCGCTGGGAATCCTTCTTGCTCTTCAAAGTTAACCAATATAAAGTCGCAGGATTAAAAATCGAAAAGCGAAATGTATATCAAGATCTTATTTGAACTGACTAAAAATCTCATACATAATTTTAAACGTATAATATCATAATATAATGTGAACTTTGGTCCAGATTTTCAAATTAAATAATGATGTCTGAATTTTCAAAATGATTAAAAAACATAAGGTCGATTCTTAGGCTTAATTAGTAAAATTGATGATTGATTATTGGTCCTTAGTGGGTAATCATTTTATTGCTTCGTCTAGGCGCATTGGTGGATTCCCTCAGAGGGGCGGTGCTTTGGGATTGTCATCAGTTAGTTTATTTTGTCTGATTGTACCAAGTTTAGAACGGTTCCTCGAACCGCAAACGGTGTTCTCCATCGAGTGACACGTAAAGTCATGTCATTATCTCTTTTAAAGTTAGTTTCATTTGATTTCATGTGGTGATGATTTGGCCAAGGTGTTGCTTTGAGAGGGTTCATGGTAGTTCCGTCTGTATAAATACTTCTTTCTCTTTTATCATTACTTGGGGAAAAATCATTTTAGGGCAATGTCTATTTTTTACCCAAACCTTTTTCAGATTCTTTTATTTTAACCAAACCTATTGAATTCCTAAAAATTATCCAAACGTCAACTCTCCGTCAACTTTTCTGTTTGTAATGTTGACTAAGTATGACCATAATGAGTTTAATTCCTACGTGGCGGTCAGAATATCATCATTTACTATTTTTAATAAAAAGATTATCAAAAATAAAACAAAATATCACCTCTCACGTGGACGAAATAAGTAACGGTAACAGAATGAATGCCCAGACTTTGATAAATTATAATACGTTTGGATAATAAATAGAATTTCTATAGGTTTGGTTAAAATAAAAGAATCTGAAAAAAGTTTGGGTAAAAAATAGACATTGCCCATCATTTTATTTAAATGCAATATCCCAAGGGGTCAATTGCATGATTCATTTGACGCCAAATAACTTGTTTGCCAAGAAAAACAAACCGAGTTATTTGTAAATGATTGACCCCAAAATGCCCAATTTAGTCATTTGCAAATGACTCATTTTTTCATCACCACCTTTTAATGTCAACCTTTCTTTTTGTTCATATACCCAATACTAACTCTTTTCTCTACTTTATCTTCGTAAACCCAATACTTTCTAATTATTTTTCATTAATAATTAGAGAGCCAGTCCGCGACTCTATTCCCTTCCCGGTACACATGAACGATGCGCACCAGCCAGTCACGACTCACTCTCCTGCGAATAGCAGCTAACAAAGTGGCATAGGGATGAACTGGATCATGCCTGTTGTTAAGTAACTGAATGGCCAGCTGAGAATCAAACTCCACCACAATCTGCCGGTACCCAGACTTCCAAGCAATATCCAAGCCATGATAAAAGGCCCATAATTCCGCCAGAGCTGCAGTAGCTTCACCAATCATCGCCACGAATCCAATAATCCAGTGCCCCATACCGTCTCTCAAGACGCCACCACCCCCCGCCGTCCCGGGGTTCCCATTAGAGGCTCCGTCGATATTCAGCTTCACCCACCCCTCCACGGGCGGGCTCCAAGCGATGTTCGCCATAATCCTGTTGACAGAGGTCGCCCTTCGGCTCCGCAACAGAGATGGGGCACTCCAAGCTTCACTCCAGAGTCTAGTCTTGGCAAGAATCGAGTGGGCCAATGATGGAGGAGTGAGGGTGGAGGACAAACCTTTGAAACACATGTCATTTCTGTTCTTCCAGAGGAGCCAAGTGGCAATACTGAACAGGGTCGCCCAACTGACCCCTAGCTGCTCGCACTCCCCCTCTGCCAAGTTCATCCGAAGCCATCCTGCAGTGTCTGCCGAGAAAAAACTTTGTTGATTAGCAATGGGGACCTGCCTTGTCCAGAAATATACCGCCGGAGGGCAATCCCTGAGAATGTGAAGGACAGTCTCAGCTCTCCCATTACATCGCGCACAATAAGGAGAATCGGCTGACTTCCAGGAAAAGCGGAGGACATTAGTCGCGATCCTGCCAAGGCAAACTAGCCACATAAAACAACGAATCCTCTCCGGGACGGGCAGGCTCCAAATGATCTTCCAATACTTCTCATCACGATCCACTCCCTGAGGCAGAAGAGACTGGTAGGCGGTCTTGGTGGTGAAATTTCCAGTCGAGGACAGCGACCAGAAAAGAGTATCCTCCTCGGTAGAGAGCTTATCCACCGCCACCCCTGTAATTTTCTGCTGAATCTCTTGCGGAAGAATGTCCTCGAACATTTCGGTGCGCCATTCTCCGTCCTCAGTCACCAGTTCCACCACCACCTCCTCCATGCGCGAGCTAGGGATCTCCTCGACCACCAGGTTCTTGAGAAGTTCCTGCATAACCCAAGAGTCATGCCAAAATTTAGTAGTATTCCCATTCTTAATATTCCAAGCACATCCCTCTTTTAGAAGGGAGGAAGCTTTGGTCAAGCTTTTCCAGGTAAAGGAACTTCCCTGAACATGACGAAAGAGATCAAGATTCTCTTTGTTCCGGCCGTACTTGTCCTTGACCACCTGCGTCCAAAGCACATCCTTCTCTTTTAGAAGTCTCCACCCGCTTTTAGCAAGCATAGCAAGATTAGCCTTCCGCTACAATTAGCATAAATAAAGTTAATGAAAGAAAACGAAGATTTCATTCGGCTCATTTCTTTCAGAACAGCACCCTACGGTCATGTAAACAAATACTCACTTATAAGAGTGAAAGTTTGCGCGTATTATGCCAAATTAAGAAAAAAGCATCAAAGAAAATAATTGATTTATTACGAACTTCATTACCTTTTCTTCCCGCTTTCTTGCCCCCCATATTCGCCAATCTCAGCTTCTCTCTCTAGTCGCTCCCTCTCCCCTCGGCCCTCACACAGGCCGACGGCGACGAAGTTACGACGGACGGCCAGGTATCTGAAAACCAGGTAGGTGAATAATTGCTTCCTCTAAAACTTGCACCCACTCATCTTTCCCCGCCTCTCCCACCGGGGACTAGCTCTCGCCGTTGCCCTTTCCATGCGCGCAATTGAAAATTTGGGGCTTTTCATGGTTTCGACCTGACAACGGCGTTATGTAATTCACAAACCCTTCAATAGTTTGGAGCTTTTTCTCCCCTGCACTAGCCCCCTTCTTCAATTGCTATATATTGAAATGGATTGTCCTTATGCTCAAGGGTTTATGTGCGCTAGGGTTTCCTGTACCTGACACTGGCAGGACTCGGTTTCTTGTTCTTGATTATTGTGCAGTCATCAGTATGGAAAAGAAGAAGAAGCTCCGCAGATCGAAGGTTGATAGAATTAGTAAGCTTCCTGCCCATCTGATACAACTAATTCTCACGCCCTTGCCCATAAAAGAAGCAGGCAGAACAAGTATATTGTCAAGAGAATGGAGGCACCATTGGAGAAGCATCACCTGCCTTGTGTTTGATGACGAGTTTTTCGATTCACCGGATTATAATTCTGATGAAGAAATTAGTGCAAATAAGCTAATGTCGAACGTTCAGGAAACTCTGCAGGCTCATGATGGGCCTATCACAGAGTTTGTGCTTTCAAATCCTGAATTAGTAACTACTGTCAAGATTGGCCCCTTGATTTCTCACCTTTCCGGAAAAGGGATCTCGGATCTTTCCCTTCTGTACCGTAAATACTGTGATCCGCAACAGTTTGAACACGAGATAGACTCTTCCCTTTTTCATGCGATACAACTGGATAGGCTAAGTTTGGAGGGGTGTTTATTCAAGGTACCATCTTGGTTTATGGGATTTGCAAGGCTGACAGCCCTTCAGTTAGAACACGTAGGTTTGCCGGATGATTTCTTCCACAGTTTCCTTCTCAAGTGTCCGCTGCTCGAGGATTTGAGTGTTTTCTACTTTGAGGGTCCTTCAAATCTTGAACTTGTCGCTCCTCCGTGCCTCAAAGTGTTTACCCTGATGGCTTTTTGTTTACGAAATATTAGCTTCAAGTATGCTCCGCTGCTTTCTGTGGTTGCAGTGCATGCTCACCATTTTGAGGGTGACAGGCCTGCAACAGATATGGCCTCTGCATTTGCTTCTCTCCCTGCACTTGAGCAGTTGTATATCAGCTCTGAGAGCCTGAACGTAAGTTTGTGTTCGTTAAAACCTTTCTCTTCCCATTTTCCCAAAATGTCTGGATTTGTTCTGCTCACACCTTTTATAGTTAATGGCTGCAGATCCTATTCCATACAGACTTCCTACTGCACTTCACTGCTTAAAAGTTCTTGACATCCGCAAGTGTAATGAGGATGACAGTTCTTGTCAAGAGGATGACAGTTTTCTTGAGCAGGAGGTTCTCCTTTGCCTCATTAGGAGTTCGCCCAACCTGTATAAACTTACAATTCAGGTTCTTATTATCGATACTCTATGAATCCTTCCCTTTGTACCACATACAAATATGTTCGGACTTTGTTTTTGTTTTTTTTTTTCTCTCCTCTCTAGGCTAAATTTGTTCATTGGCTAAAAAACTTGCAGATGCAACCTCGAGGGTATTTGCATTTTACGAGGAGGGACTTGAAGCTCTCAGACTATGAACCAGATACCGATCTTGAAGCTAAAGATGGTTGTTGTCAGCGTCTTGAAGAAGTCGAAATTATGCTTGGTGGAGGCTCTCAGGTTGAGCTAGACTTGTTGAGGTTCGTGTTGGCCAATGGCCCGCTGCTGAGAAGGATTGTCATTGAGCCTGTGAAGGAAATGAGTTGGGAAGGATGTCTCGAGTTCTTAGAGGAGATTAGACAGTATGAGTGTGCTTCAAGAAAAGCCGAGATCATATATGTGAACAAGTCTAAGCGGATAGTCTTTAGGACGAGATTGGCAAATCTTTAGCTTATATAATCCATACGTCTTGGATGACTGGCAAGCCATGCTTTCGCTTTGCAGTTTGTGTTGACGAGTTTGGAATTTATTCAGTTCTTTGAATGAACGGTGTAAGGACTCTATCCTATCCTAGTTAATATTCTGGTCAGTGGTCACAAATTCCTACATAGCTCTACGCTTGTACATGAGAAAGATGAAACTATTCTGTTGGGCGATACCTTCATTTTCTAAACTTTTCAGTTTTCAGTTATTGAAGGTTTATATTCCAAATAGAGACCTTTACTTTCTATCAATTAACAGCACCCCTCGAACTTCCAATATTCTTAACTAGCACGCCAAATGAGTTGAGTCGAGCCGAGTTTTACCCCAGTTTGAGCTCGATCTGTTTATTAACAAGCCGAGTCGAGTCGAGTTCGAGCTAGTTTGCTAACTTAAATCTTGACTCGTATTCGATATATTCATTTTGTATATCATGTATGATACATGTGTTTAATGTCAATATGAAAAAAATAGTAATAATTAAGTGTTCAATATTAAATAATCTCATGTTATACTTTGGGTGTCAAATTATTTAGTTAATACATTTTAACTAGTCAAAATTATGTTATTTCATAGTATCGAAGCAAACTATGATATGTAATTTCTTTTAAAAATTAAATAAGACATATTTGCTAACATAATCTACGTGTTAAACTTTATATAGGGTAAGATATATAATTAGGTAAATACAACATATAAGCCAGAACTATTAAGAAACGGAAAATTATAGCCATAACTATCGAAATACAAATTATTAGTCAAACGTTAACTATCCGTTAACAATTCCGTTAGATGATTGTGAGCTGACAAAAGTTATATTGAGGTATAAGAAATTTTATTACGTGGCAGTCAACAAAAGATCTCACATCAGCCAGTTAACCTAAATAACATATTGATTAATTATTTATTTATTTAAAATAATAAAAAATTCCCTCCCCAATAATCTTCCTCTTTCAGCCGCTGTAGTTCCCTTCTCTTCTCTATGGAACCGCCTCCGGCCGTCGCTCCCCCCTCATCGACAAGCCAAAAGTTTTTTGAATTCTCCGCTAATTTATTTCTATTTTGCAGATCTTGATTCACTTTCTATATGAGAAAAGGGAACCCAAAAATTTCATAAGACTTGAAGTGAACTCATAGGGGTAAAAAGTGGCAAGCAACATCAGTTTCTCCTTGTCAAAAGCAGCAAATGAATTCTACGGACTTAAGCAAGCCATAGACAACAACAACTGACAATTGACCTCGTCAAACCGATTATTAATCTCTTGCAACTGCATATCTATGACGGTGTAAAATAGTAGCCGAAAATATGGGTGGTGGGTGGAGGTTCAGCGAGCTTGGAACCAGAGATGGAGAGCTTGGAGGCTGGACTCGCAGGTCGCAGTCGTTGGAGGGTGGAAACCTTGGAGGTTGGCGGGTGAGGAAAACGAAATTGAAATTGGGGATGCCTTGCTGGGATGGACGACAGTGTTTTGCGTTTTGCTATTAAGATAGATAATTAACATTGGTATAACTAAAGTTGCGTGTTCAATAAATCAAATACCTCTTTTAGCCGAGATGGTGAGATTGCTAGCCGTGAAACACGGGGTCAGGGGTTCGTTTTCTACTTATAGGCATATATTTTTAGAATATGTCTATTACATGTAGTTGATGGTAATGAGGTAGGATGAGGCGAGTACTTCAATGCCTATATTCGTCCATCACCAAAATTGCGAGTAAGGTCGGGTAATATCCGCACGAGTAGTGGTTATGGTATGTCGACCCATTATCTTTATATATTTTGAGGAAAAAATTTATTTTCAACATAAAAACAAAGGAAAAATAGTTCATAAATGAAAAAGTAGATATAATATGCAAATTAATTAAGAGAAATTGGCTAATGGATGAATTTTTCCAGTTATCTAAAGTATCATTAGATGAATGTATATATATACATTCTAAAATCTTATTTATCTACTTATAGGCATATATTTTTAGAATATGTATATTACATGTAGTTGATGGCAATGAGGTAGGACGATGTGAGTACTTCAATGTCTATATTCGTCCATCACCAAAATTGCGAGTAAGGTCGGATAATATCCGCACGAGTAGTGGTTATGGTATGTCGACCCATTATCTTTATATATTTTGAGGAAAAAATTTATTTTAAACATAAAAACAAAGGAAAAATAGTTCATAAATGAAAAGGTAGATTTAATATGCAAAATAATTGAGATAAATTGGCTAATGGATGAATTTTTCCAGTTATCTAAAGTATCATTAGATGAATGTATATATATACATTCTAAAATCTTATTTATCTACTTATAGGCATATATTTTAGAATATGTCTATTACATGTAGTTGATGGCAATGAGGTAGGACGAGGCGAGTACTTCAATGTCTATATTCGTCCATCAGCAAAATTGCGAGTAAGGTCGGGTAATATCCGTACGAGTAGTGGTCATGGTATGTCGACCCATTATCTTTATATATTTGAGGAAAAAATTTATTTTCAACATAAAAACAAAGGAAAAATAGTTCATAAATAAAAAAGTGGATATAATATGCAGATTAATTGTGAGAAATTGGCTAATGGATGAATTTTTCCGGTTATCTAAAGTATCATATGATTTAACACAAGTAAAAACAGGACAAAAACAATAAAATGTGAGACAAATCAAACAGGACGAAAGTAGTACACATATCCCGATCCACATAACTACGAGCCGGATATTACCCGCTTCAACACGAGTCAGGTTGGGTCATACACGTTAGGACGGGTTCAAATTATCATCACTAAATACATCTCAAATAGGTTGGATACCGATATGACTATTGAATCTATTACCACATTTTGAATCTCATCAAAGACTAATAAGTTGGCTAATGGTTAAGTTCAAAAATAAACCTGGAATAAATTCATAACAATTTAGAGTTTACGGGATGGCTAAATGTCGAGGTCATAACCATCCCAATTAAGGAATAGGCGTAAGCCTATATTGAATCAAGCAAGTTAATTACCTTCTCAGCACGTGATGACATATTTATAAATAACAACAGTACATAAAACTCGAGATTATGGTCATACGAATACTGAAGTTTACAAATTCATGGTTTTCAAGTCGTTATCAAACTGGTTAGCTGGACTAGGTTCGATCGGAGCGACATCCTAAACTGCTGCCACAAAGCTGAATTTCTAAAGAGGTAGGACTCCGTCAAAACCACAAAATTGGTGGATCTGGTCAAACTAATCGATTACCAGCCCATACACCAAATGAGTTTTGGTGAAATTAATCAAGAAAAGAAAAACAAAAAAAGACGCCATTGGTCACATGCGATTGACTGTGTGTGAGAGGGCTGGAGAGTGACACGAGAAGGATGGAGAAGGGGAGGGGAGGTAAACTAATCGAGTATCAGCCCGAACATCAAATTGTTTTTGCCGTTTTGGTGAAATCGAATAAAAAAAGAGAAAACGAAAAGATCACCTTAGTCACCTGCAAATACTTTGTGAGAGATGACCGAAGAGCGACATGAAACGGATGGGGAAGGGGGAGGCAAAGATAGTGAGGTAGAAAGTATAAAAAAGAAGGGGTTGTGTGAGTGTGTGTGCTATATCTAACTATTTATTCTTAAATCACTACTTGACCGATTCAATCGTTTAAATAAGTTTGATGATCTTGTTCAAATTACACCTACCCATTTAATCTTAAACCACCGAATTAATTGATTAAATTCTTTAAATAAGTTTGATGATCTTGCTCACGTTATACCTATCAGCATGATCATAAAACTCACCCGGCCAATCGGGCGGGCAAAATGTTAATTTTGTTATTTGGTGTAGTATATGAGTTTATTTTGGGGTTAAGTATTTGAAAAACAAATAAATCAATTAAATGCATTTAAGTAAATTTAATTTAGTTAAAGTAAATTTTAGAGTGACAAATAACAATAGATTCAGCTGTTAGATTATCAAGGACAGACACCGAAAAAAGGGAATTAGGGCTCATCGATCGTCTTCGTCTCTTGCGTATTCCGGCGCAAGCTAGCATTAATAATGAAGGCGCTGAACGAGTCCGATGCCGATAGAATCAGCAGCCTTCCTGACGACGTGATACAGAGCATCGTCGCTTTCTTACCCGTAAAAGATGGAGCGAAAACAGCTACACTGTCGAAACAATGGCGGCACAACTGGGGAGCAACTGCTAAGCTCGTGTTCAATGGCGGTTTCTGTCAAATCTCAGCGGTGGAAGACTATGTGCTCAAGGCTAGTGAGCTAATGTGGGAGATTTACAAAGCTCTGCTCCTTCACGAAGGACCCATAACCGAATTGGTGCTTGAAATCCCTGGATTAAGGCCTTGTACTGACATGGATCTCATGATGCTCTTCGTTTCCAAGAAGAGCGTCCAGAAACTCACCCTTTCCTTCTATGAGAAGCGAGCACTTGAGGATAAGATTTCTTCTGCCTTGTTTACTGCTCGCCAACTGAGCTACCTGAGACTGCGGAACTGTGAATTCAGTGCGCCATCTTGGTTTCTGGGTTTCAGTAAGCTTGCCCGTCTTGATTTATATGGAGTACATGTTCCCTCTCCATCTAATTTCTGTGAAGATTTCCTTCCCAAGTGTCCGGTTCTTCAACACTTGATATTCGTTATTCAGGGCTCAGATTCTCGTAAGGCTGAATTAGTATCTCCTTCACTGAAAGTATTTGAGTCCAATCTTTGGAATGTCTGCTTCAAGCACACCCCATTTCTTTCAACGGTCAGGATCGAATTGATGGATGTGTACCAGAACGATAAACTAAGCAAGTATCGTGCATATGACCCAGATATTGCAGCTGCATTCTCTTCTCTCCCTGCAATCGAGAAGTTAATTATAGGCGGACAATGGATGGGAGTAAGTTTGGATTTTGCTATTGCTTTCGTTTGAGTTGATAGCTGCAATCTGGCTTGAGAATGTTGGTTTCTGTGTTCACCCGATACATATTTCATAATGCTGACGCTTGACATGTTCCTTGTGTTCTGTTCTCTAGTTCCTTGCCTCAGGTAAAGTCCCATCCAAGCTTCCTACATATCTTCATCAACTGAAAGACCTCAAACTGGGCGACATCCTATTGTATCGTTTGTCGGAAGCACGTGTTCTTGTTTGCCTAATCGCGAGTTCCCCCAACCTGCGCAAGCTCACCGTTGTGGTTGGTTTGCTGAACTGAGTTTTAGTTGTGCAGTAGATGTGAGTATTGGCTGTTAATTCTATGAGCTCGACTATTTTTTTTCCTGATGAATGTTTTTGTAGTGTAATTGTGTCCACGCCAGCCTTCGCAAGAAGAGAACTATTGACATCTTGCAGCTGTTGGAAGAACACGACCATCCTACTGCAAGTTGTTTTCAGTGCCTGGAAGAGATGAGTATTTCTGATGTCCTGGGTATGCGGGTTGAATTGAACTTGTTGAGGTTTGTATTAGCTACCGCCCCACAACTTCGTAGGATCTTCATTAAGCCTGATGGTAAAATGGACCCTAGAAAGGCCCACAAATTCTTGAAGGAGGTTACGAGCTTTAAGCGTGTTTCCAGAGAAGCAGAGGTAATCTATGTTTCTAAGGATGAAAACTGATGCTCTGTAGCTTTACTCTTCGAGCATTTTGGCTCATCATCTTAGTTCTCTCACTTCATCGAGGTTTTCTGGTCAGGAATTTTTTTTCTGTAATTGATGCGATGTTGTTTGATCTAAGATTAGTTTGGTATATGGTGGGCTTTTGTTCCCCTCAAAATGTTGCTTGTTCGTACTACTTTCAGTACACTTAATAATCTTCTCATCTTTGTCATGATAGAATTGTTGGGTCGAACTCGATTGCATGAACAAAAATCGTAAGTCTAGGGCTGTGGACAGTGGTTGCTATGTCATACGATATGAACTTGTGGAGCACGTTAGAGAAGGACATATAGGTTCTAATCCTTTCCTCCTTAATGCATTTGAACTTTTCTTGTTATCTTAAGGAAAGGACCAAGGTTGTCAACCCGCGGGTCAACCCATGGGTTGACCCACTTTGACCCTGACCCGATGACAAAAACGGGTCGTACGCACCCGCCGGGTCGACCGTTATAAGGTATCGAGTTGGAGGTCAAATTATGTCATTTTTTTCTTTAGTTTGCGAAATGCGCCTATTTTCCGATTTTTCTTTTCGCCTAACTCAATCTTTGGAATCCTTATTTGAACATTTGAATATTGATGTTATATAAGCGTGTGTGAATTTTCACTATATGTTGGATCTAAGTACGCCATGTTACTTTGGTGTAATGTTATATGTTATTACTCATATGTTAGATGACATTTGATATAATTTATCAAGTAAAGTACAATATAATGACTATTTTCATATTTCCGGGCTAAAACGGGCTAAACCGGGTGACACATTAACCCTTGATCCACTAATTCGACCGGGTCCGGATCAACCCACGGGTTGACAGGACAAATTCTCTCCATGGTTGATGGTGTGGTGACCCTATGTAGTATTGGGGCACTGACTAGAACAAACTCATCTAAGTCCAACTCAACTCGTGTATCAAAAAGTCCTTAGTGTTGAACTCTTCAAGATGCTCAAGGCAACCGACTCTAGGTAGGTGATCTTCTCGTGGCAACCGTTTCTGTAGACTAGCAGTAACATCTAAGGATGAATGTTCGTCGTCATCATCATCGATTGAAGTCTTTTCTCTCTTTCGCTCTTCCAAGAGTCACAGAAGAACTCTGATCCCCAACTTAGAAGTGGTGAAAAAACGAGATTCGGGAGTGATTGAGAAGTGTTTTTCTTCTCCATTGTGGAATGGAGTTTTTATTTTACTTCTTGACTCGTGTACTTTACCAATTCTTACAAATGATCATCTGAATTGTAAAATTTTACTTTTATGCTCTCCGGACTATGCATATTGAAAAAAATCACAACTCGATTCACGTTAAAGCACCGTTCATTAAACACAATATGCAAACTAGCACCCATCCTCGAAATGTAACCAATAATATGGGCTGAATCAACTAAATTTTTAGTGAATAAATGGGCACATTGATTCATGTCAACACACAAAAAGTTGTACATTGAACATGAAAAGGAAAAAAAAAATTATCTATATATGGTTCTTACTAAAAGTCTAAAACCCTGTCATTGAACAAACACGAGAAAATCATTGTCTAAACTTCTTACCTAAATGACTGAACAACACAAAAGGAAATCACCAAATTGATTCAAACGCCTCAACTCTTTATCATCATCGCTTCAAACATATATGACCTTTGCTTTCTTGGACACGCCCTTATATTCTGTCATCTTGTTCGAGAATTTGAAACATTTGAAGGAACCCAAATTATTATCATTATTCTTCTTGACCACGAACCTTCAAATGTTTAGAACCACATAAAAAGAAAAACATTAAACTTTAAGCAATGCATGAAAGTAAATCTACAAAGAATACTAGTGAATCCCATCAATAACAAAAGAAAAGGCCACTAGTGGATTCCAAAGGTTTCAAGATACTATAGTAGAGAAGCAAACTACCGAAGCAGAAAGTAAAACAACACCAACAAAAAAGGCAGTCATCACAAATCTTCCTCCACATCATATTCCTCTTCCTCGTACCACATATAAATAACTTCGGCATCTTTAGAAGCACGATTATATTGAGTCGCTTTTTTTTCAAAAAATTTGAGACATTTGAAGTAACTCAAGTATTCATCGACCTGAATAACGATCTTTTGTAGTAGCGAGTAGGGCTGGAAGTTTGGTATCGATATTTGGAATATACCGAATATCGTACTGAATTTTTCTATATTTGGTATTATCGAATACACGTATTATTTCTTGGGATTAAGATTGGGATTGAATTTCAATTGGTATTCGGTATTAGGGATTACGGGATTGGGATCGGAATATACCAAAATACCGATCAATACCGAAATATAAGCTAGTTTGTATTTTATCCTCTCAACTAGACTCTCTCATTTACTACTACATGACATTCAACCACCAAAAGTGTCATTTAATTATACACAATTAATTCCATCACTATTAATAGTCGTTTCTCAACCTCCAATTCGTCAAATTAAAATTATTAATGACAAGAACTTGAGATGTTTCCTCTCCTCCACTCTCCTTAATAATATCCTAATTCAAAACTCTTTTCTTAGTCTTTTTCCTTAAATTAAATAATAAAATATAATCTATATATTTAATTATTAATTGCAAAGGTGATTAATTACGTATTCGATAATACCGATTGGAATACCGAAGTACCGATTGGAATACCGAAGTATTGATTGGGATACCAAAATATTTAAGAATTGAGATTGGGATATCGAAATATTTAGGAATTGGGATACCGAAATTATTTAGGGATTGAGATTAGTATTAACTTTAGGGTGTAATTCGATATTCGAAATTTCGAAATTTGATATTGGAATACCGATACCGTACCGATTTCGACCCCTAGTAGCGCTAGCGCAAGCTTCACCAGATCCAACTCAGCCCGTGAGCCACGGCTTCCTTGAATGTTCATCTCTTCGAGCGACCGAAAACAACAACCCGATCCACTTTCAGGGTACAGACTCTCGAGGCTTGCAATTATTGCAGCTCGTCCTCTTGAACAGATCTATCAGAGGCATTTGGTCAAGAAACAAACTCAGTAGGTATTGGACCGAGCTGACGTTGTGGGCCGTGATCATAACCGAGCAGATCTCCCTCCACAGGCCCACATGGTTTGGCGTAGCTCACAGCAGCAGCTGAGACTTAATTCCCACGTAGAAACCCTAGTTACATGTTGTATAGGGATATATATGCTGCTGTATCTTCATTACCGAAAGGTGTTAGTGATTAAGTGATCAATAAGAGCAAAGCCGGAGAGGCTCATCTCTCCCGTGGATTAGTCCTGATAAGTCAAATCGGGGATACCACGTTAAAATCGTGTGTCTCGTTTTACTTCCGCATTCAAATTTTACATGGTATCAGAGCATCAGGTCCATATATAGTCGATAATCATGAGTGACGACGAGAGCAAGAAGGGTTCCTTCCGCGAGTCGTCATCGTCTTCAACTCAAGGGTTCCCAGAACCCTACTCACCCTACTTTCTCCATCCGTCCGACGTCAACGGACAACTTGCTGTGGGAGATGTCCTCACGCCAACTAATTATGGAGAATGGGTCGTCGATGTCACCGACGCACTCATCGTCAAAAACAAGTTTGGTTTTGTGGACGGTACCATATCGAAACCAGATCAAGAGCCTGAGAAAGGGGCCTGGATTCGGTGTGATGCTGTCGTCAAGGGATGGCTGCGAATTGCTATGAACAAGGAAGTGAGGAGCAGCGTCCGGTTTGCGAAGACGGCACGCGAGGTTTGGGTTGACCTAAAAGAGCGCTTTGGCCAGGGAAGCTTAACACGCGGGTATGAACTCCGCCGTCTCATTAGCGCCCTCTGGCAAGAAAAGCTCTCGGTATCTTCTTTTTACACCCAACTTCGTACGTATTGGGAAGAAGCACAGTCTTTAACAGGTGCTGAAATCTGTACTTGTGGTCGCTGTCAATGTGGTCTTGAGACCCGAATAAGGGCAAAAGAAGAGCGCTTCCGTCTATATGATTTTTTGATGGGTCTCGATGAGAGTTTCGGGACCGTTCGTAGTCAAATCTTATCCATGAAACCCACGCCAACTCTTGCCGAAGCTTACAACATTGTATCCAACGATGAACAACAACGCCTTCTTGCACAACGAAGACGTCCAACCTCGGAAGGAGCAGCTTTTGCGGCGCGATCCGATAGCAAGGATTTTCCCCGCACTCCTGATGGGCGTCCAATTTGTGTTCACTGTGGAAAGGAAGGACATTTCAAGCAAACTTGCTATGACTTAGTTGGATGGCCAAATCGTAATGGCAATGAGAAGGCCGAGAAGGGTGAGAAGAAACGGCGCATTTCGGTCGAGCGTCCCTCGGGAAATCGTCCTCCACGTGCGGCACAGGCTGAAGTTGAAGTCAGCCCTGTCCCGGGTTTCACTACAGCCCAGCTCGAGAGCCTCTAAAAGTTCTTCTCGCAACCATCACCCGCGGACGATCCTTCCGCAAACATGGCAGGTATGGCTCTTGGTAACTCTGAATGGTTGATAGATTTCGGTTGTAACGAGCACATCACCCATGATGCAAGTCTATTGAGTTCAGTCTTGGTTAATGAGGATAGTCAACCAGTAAGAATCCCAAATGGTGCGAGTGTGCCTGTTAAGCAAGTTGGGTCTGTTGTTTTCAGTTCTGGGTTGCAGCTAGATCGTGTACTACATGTGCCGGGTTTTCAGTGTAATCTCTTATCGGTTAGCAGGCTGACAAGAGACAATAATGTTGCCTTGATCTTTCTACGTGATGTGTGTATTCTTCAGGACTTACGCTCCAAGAACGTGATTGGGAAGGGGATTCTCCGTGATGGGCTATACTATTTGAAGTTGTTAAGCAGTCAGGAGCAGTTCGTGTTTGCTGATAGCGGTAGTCGTTTGGTCTCCGAGGAAGTTTGGCACTCTCGCCTGGGTCATCCATCCTCCGTCAAGTTATCTCAGTTACGGTCTTTTGTTAATGTTTCGGGGTCCCAGAAACATGGACCATGTCATTCATGTCTTCGAGCAAAACAGAGTCGATTGCCTTTTCCCCTTAGTACTATTCGAACGACAGATTGTTTTGAGTTGCTACATGTTGATATTTGGGGTGGTTATCAAACTGATTCTGTTAGTGGTGCACATTATTTTTTGACCATCTTCGATGACTATAGCCGTGGTGTTTGGGTATATCTCTTGAAGTT